TGACAAGGTCCAGGCCAAATTCCTGGCTCTGCTAACCCATGCAGCCTAGTTACTGTGTTTAGCCAGGTGCTCTGTTGCCTGCTTTAAAACAGAGTCGATGATTCTGCACTGTCCATCCACAGGGATGTCTGCATTACAAAGGTGCTGCAGCAACTGTCCTCTGGCAACGATAGAAACTGAAAAAACACAGCAGGCAATAAAATGCACTGCAAAGGTCTACAAGCCTGGCAGAGTCACTTGTGTGCAATAAAACATATGAGATTGGGCACACAACTGTGCAGCTGTGAGAGAGGGATGTGACAGATAAGGTGGGTAGGAGACAGGCCCCCGATGTCCCCTGATGCCCTATTTGATACACACAGAGGAGCAAAAGTGGCTATTCAATACCAAATCAGCAACACACCCAAAAAGGGCTGCCTTCCTCCACACATTTCTGCACTTGAATGCAGATAGGTCACATCACATTGACGCCTGCACAAAACTCACCCCTCACAACCTATTTCCTCAGCTGACAAGAAGCAGACTGAGGTCTTATCTCCTCAGTGGGCATGACTCTGGCTGGTGCAGAGGGAGGCTGGCAGCTGCACTTACACGTCTGCACCCAGGTCAGCTCTGCTCTGCAGGTTTTATCTTCATCCACTTCAGGGCTGTGCACCTTTCAACACCCTCGGTGTCAAATAACTTCATGCCCCCGAGTGCCATAAACTTCTACAATGACAGTAACTCACAGATGGGTATGGATGGTTATAAAATCATGTCCTAAATTAGGACAGCAAGAGGCTGAGATTGGAAGAGTAGGAGGAAGTCAGGAAATCCCAAGAGAAGATGATGGGGGAGGGATTTAGTGTCTTTAGAAAACAATAATGCAGTTAAATCTATTTTTCTTCTGACTTTACACACCAAAATAAGCTTCTCAGCTTCTGGGGCTGTCACAAATCATACGGAAAATAAGGCCACTGGAACCCCATCAGTAGAATAAGAGCTATATAGTAATAATCCTGAGGAGCTGCACAGGGCTTTCCATCTTCAAAGTGTTTTACAGACAGTAATTTATTAATCTGCAAATTTCCCCCGGCCACCAGCAACTGCTCTGCCTCTCTGCTCAGCGTGACACAGACACGAAGCACAGATCGGCCCTTGGGAGAGACGGCTCAGGCGGCAGCTCCAACCTCTGGAGCCTGACCTCTGTTTCTTTCTCTCTGAAGTTGCAAGTTCTCTGCTCCAGTCACCACCTGAATCCAGAAGCACTGGTGACATCTGGCACCTTGGAGCCAACTTCAGAGTGGACAAAACCAGTGCCTGAAAGCCTCTGATATCAGGGAGTGTAAAAGACATGCTCACAGTCCATTAAATAACAGTGGAGCCTGAAATAAAGCTCCCAGGACAGAACCTCCTGGCTGCCTTACAGCCACTGCCTGCCATGCTGGGGTGTCATTCTGGGTAGAAGCTGGCCCCAGTTGTGGGCTCATCCTACCACACAGCCTGTCTGAGAGTCTGAGAGTTCCCCAAGGGAGCTATCAGAGGCGTTCCTATGCAAACACGAGGATTCCTCCCACCCAAGCACTATTTATGCACAGCAGGTACCTGCTACCACTTTACACATGTCCTTCAGATAATCAGCATGAGGCTGCTCCTCCTCTCATGGCAGCAATATTCTTCTGCTTTTGCAATTCCCTAAGACAATACTCGTAACCATGACCCCGTCCCCAGCCCACTCCCTTCAAAAGCTGAGAAATCTTGGAGAGTAAGAGAGCAGCCTGGTTAGCAGAGAGAGGAAAATGGAACGAGGAGCACAACTACAGCTATATCTTCTACATAAGCCAGTATCTAACACTGGCTAGCTTTGTTCAGAAATAAGAACATAACATTATTCTGTATTCACACTGTTCTTTGTCCAACTGCTTTTTCATCTCTTTTAAGCCAGTGTATATTTATATGACTTCAGTAGTGCCAAAGAAATAATTTTAAGACAGAACTGGGTCCATTCGTTTTTGCAATCCCTCTCTGGATATCAGAACATCGAGTTCACTAAGCATCCTACAACACAAGTACGGAGCCTCATTTCCAACTTAGGGATGGCTTAGCTAGGCAATGAAAGCAAAAGACCCCAAACACCATTGCAAACACTATGCCAAAGGTCACAAGCAAGGAATTCAAACCCATGCACTGCAGATCATGTACATTCTCAAGACCAGAAAAGATCTACCCTCACATACAGTACGAGTGAATAGAAGACTCAGGCACCAATTCAGTCTCAGACTCCACATCTTTTACTCTACACTACTCAGATCACATTTCTTTCCTCGTACAGTTTGCACCTCCCTTCCGGCAAGTGATTTTGTTTCAGCACCAGCCTCCATACGCAGCAGAAACAGCAGAGCCCAAAGAACAGATGTTTAGAGCCACAGTGCTGTAGGCGAAATCTGGGGGGGAAATAAAGTTTATGGATTTGTCTCTCCAGTAAGAAGCAGGGTAAAGCACAATGCTGAAGCTTTCTGACACATTGCCAGGGAGACTGTCAGCAGTACTGGCTGAACTGGATGGAAAGGCTGCTTGCATCACAGCCAGAGCAGTGCTGGTATTTTAAAGCTGAAATGTAGCAAGGGTTGGCTCCTCGTCTCCTCTGTAAACTCACAGAGCCTGGGACTCAGCAGAACCTGGACCCCTGGCTTGGGCAGTCCCTGGTCAGTGTTGTTGACCACACTGCTCCACCAAGAAGGATGGCAGAGGCAGGAGAAGTGGCAACAAACCACAGCAGGACTCCTGTCCCTGCCTCCAGCCTTCCTTAGTCCAGCCTTGGCTGGAGAGAGAGCTGGTCCCAACAATACAGCATTACATAACTTAATAGTCAAAGCACAGAAAGAGATTCATCTGAAATGACAAATCCCTACCATGTTACACATGTTAAATATCCCAGGAGCCAGGTTCCTCATTGAGAGCTACCCCTCTCCACGGCCTTGCTTGGTGTTAGGCGACCACCAGGGCAGCTGTAGACTGGGCACAGCCCTTCTACATTCACTCCAGATAACCTCAGCTCTGGTCCCCCCCCCCATGCTTCCTGTTACTGAAAGAAAAAGCAAGTCCAAATGCTGCAACATTACCAGAGCAAGTCTGGTCTCCCATACTGCTCTGTATTTACAACTTTGCAAGGGTGAAACAAGCTCCAGTCACCTTTTGGTGCCAGCTCCAGGAAACCCCACAGTGTAACAGAGGTCTGCACAAACAGCTGCCCCTCCATCCAAGTACAAACAGCCATCCGGGCCCATCATGAATAACAGAAGACATTTTGACAGCCCAAACTGGTTTATGATGTCCATGGCATAAAAAGCAAGCTCTGAACTGAAGAGTGTGTCTGACACCACAGACCTCCAGATAATTAAATGCATATACTGCATCGGATTTGCAGGAGAGACGTATTTTAACTGATCACGTGTCTCATGCATCACCCTTTGACACTTATGTTCTTGCAGCACTCTAAAAGGGCTCTGAGCATCCTGTACAGAAAACCTCTGCTGAAGGAGGAATATTTAAATAGTACTAGACACCCTACAAAAATGCATGGAGGATTCTGGTTCTGCCAGATCCGTTGGCATGAGCCTGTGTGTCCCAAATGCCAGGGTGCTCATTTTCACAGCTCCCAGATGACTGTATCAGCTTTTAGGGTAGCTCTAACACTTTCTGGGCAATCCTGGTCCAATTGCACATACCTCCCATTTCTGAAAAAGCCCAAGATGACTGCACATGGGGTGTCGTAATGCTGCCTCAGCAGGAGGAAGATATTGCGTTGGTGGAGAGCAGAACAGCACGTCCAGAATCACATGCAAAGCAGGGATTTTCCCAGCGAGCAGCAAAGATCCACGTCGCAGGATCCCTCCTTCCCCTGGCGCTCCTGCTACCTGGGGCTTAGCAGAGGAGGCCCAGGCCGCATATTCTTTCTCCTTTGCTGTTTCCCCATTGCTCACCACTTCCACCCAGCCCCTGTCAGCCAGGATGGGACATCCCTTACCGAAGACCACAGCCTACTGTGAATGCCTGCAGCCCTTGGGCAGCCCAAGGAGGAGAAAATCCTCCCAGTCTCTGTGATGAACGCTGCACTGAGATGAACCTCGCTGAAGTGCATGATGTGAATTTGGCCATGATAATTCAGTGTAGTCCAAGAGGGAATGACACAAGAGCTGTTCATCTGCTCAGGATATTATAACTTCTTGTTTGTCCCTTGCTGCAGAGGGACAAAGGTTCATTGGGGGGCTTGTCAATCCCCTGCACAGCCCTTATTTCTAACATTTCCCCCCACAAAACCAGCGCCTGTTCTTTTCTCCCTCCCCCTTTCTACTCGCCTCCTGTAAATCATGCTGTCTCCTTCCGCCTCCAAATAGGAAGTCCGGAGCCGAGACATGCACAATCTGCCTCTTCAGAAGAGCTGGGCTGAAAGTGTGCCAGAGGAGCTGCGAGCATGACAACATATTTCCTGTCAGGAAAGTGACTCAGTGAAATGGGTATCAGAGCTCTTACTCCAGAAGTTCCCCTCTCCCCTTGCATTGCTGAGGCATGAGTCAGAATTGGAGAGCTGAATCTCAACCCCCTCCGGATCCAACCAGGAATAGCAGAGTTCAGGTTCAAGTCTGGGTCCTGCTTGCAACTCAGTGACAAGTCAACACCACGTGCCAAGCCCTGGTTTCATCCCTCACAGAAGGGGAATAAAGATACTGACCAAGTGGGCAGCTTGAATTTACAAAGCACTTTTAGGTCGAGGTGGTGCTTTCTGCTATTTGCTAATGCACCCGTTTACACCACGCTTGTAGCCTCCATACATGAGCATTGTACAATACCCCACAGAACTAGCATTGTGTTCAATACTTTGTTGAAGCATTTTACACACAACCCTTTAATCCAGAAATGCCGTAAATTCTTAAAACTCGCTGCAGACAGTTTTATTCTCTGGCCTCAGGCCAGCTCTTCCCACAGTAAGTGAGCAGGACCATCGCATGCCATGTCCTTACCTGAGCCTCTGCTGAGGGTGACCATGGACAGCCAGAGTGTAACCAGCAGGACACTGACCATCTTCATCCTGCGAGACAAAGCACACAGAGTTTCTGGTTATTTGACACTGTTTCATCACTGCAGGCAATTTTTTAACTCTGAGTGTGTGTATTTATCCCTCCATCCACCCAGTGATCCTTTAATTCTGGGAGGTTCTATTTTTATTTCATTTTATTTCATTAAGATTCCTTGAGAATAGTATCTGCGTGGCAGCGTTGCTCCACCTGTGGCAGCTTGCCAAGCCTGGGAGGTGACGACTCTGAAGAGGACAGCCCAGATCATTGACTCAAGTCACTGGAATAGTCTGTATCTGGAAGCATAAGGAGTAAAATAGGTGCTTGCAGGCTAGAAATCCCGACCTTTGACTCCCAAAACACCAAGGTCCTTTGCCAAGACCTCATTCAGCTCATTTCTAAGAACAAGTGCAGAAAGCACTTGCGATGGTGAGCAGCAGCTGCAGCACAATTGCACTGAATATGTGTTTGACAGTTCAACAGGACAACCACACCAGTGCAGCCCAAATTGGCAAGGTCTGCTGTTGGTGACCTGCAAAGAGGCTGGTTGCCAGAGTCCTGACTGCTTCACTCTGCTCCTACAGGCAGTGGAGGCAACACAAGGCCTCACCAGCCCTTTCCAGTCAAACCCTTCTCTGAACAGCCACCTCACAGGAGTAAACAATCATCAGGTTTGTAGGCTTTTCAGAAATGATCTGAACAAAGGCTTATACTTTCTAAGCAGCTCTGATAAGCAAAAAAACAATCCCAGACTTTTCCATTCCTGCTACAGAGCACAATTTCCTGTAATTTGAGATAAATGTACATTGCCAGAGTTTCACTGGCTGACCGCTCCGGTATCTGGCATTCAGCTCTCAGAGCTGCTCGCTCACTGGAATTAAATCTCCCTCTGTTTCTAGGTTTTTCAGGATGCAATTTATAAGCTGGTAGTCATGAAAACTGACATCTACTAGATGCTCTCATTAATGGGGTGAAGGTCGCATTTGATATTCCTAGGTGCTGTCAGATCACAAAGGGAGAAGAGATGGTTAAAAGGCTGAACTTCATCAAAGCATCTCAGCTCCACCAGGCAGATGCAGTAACGAGCATGGTGATACTGTCAGGAGTGTGCTTACAAGATGACAGGGAAACCTGTTCCATCATGGGGGGTTAAAAGTGTGGGGAGAGAAGCCACAGAGCTCCCTTAAACACGTCCCTCATAAACCTGTCCAGAATATATGCAGTACACAGAAGGGCTCTGAGCATAAGCAGAGAGCACCTAAGACTGCACAGATTGCAGAGATTAACAAGAATGGGACGCGTGAACTGTACTTCTCAAAACCCAGCAGCGGATATTGAATCCTTCCTTTTCAATGCTTACATCTGAAAAGCCTTTGTGCAATGCTTTCCTTCTGCTGGGCTCATCTCAAAGAGACAAAGGAAATCCGGAGCAAGCCTGCTCTTCCCCGCACAGCCCATGCAAAGGGCTGCAGATTGCCTCTGAAGCCATCAGGCTTTAAAAAACGGGCAAGAAGCAGGGAAGAAAGTGAATCTTCTTCCCTGAGGTTCAGTTGAGAGGGCTGGTCATCCCCTACTGCCTTCCTCCAAACTGAAATGCCAGCTGCTAATCAAACCCTTCTCCACTGCCACCTACAACCAGCTCCCAATGTCACTTAAGAATATTCATAGAGAAGAAACAGCATTAATGACTCCCACCCCCCAGGAGATGTTGAAGAAAAATAAAACATCTTTACACCATCAGATTGGACAGAGAGAACCAACATGCTGCACTTCTGGTAGGAACTCAGGATCTTTTGGTAATTTAGATGCTTGAAGACAGGGGGTGTAAACAGCGACAGGGAATCATTCCCATAATAAAAATCCCTCATGGTTCCCTCTCCATTTGTCATTAGCTAAATGCACAGCGTGTCCTAACTCACCCTTATTTTCTAGTGATTCTCTCCTGCATTTTGCACAAATCAGACTGAATTCAGCCCTGAAGCAAGCAGGAACAACTACTGACTTTGGATGAGTTTATCTTGTATAGAGCAAGGCCATTTATGTGGCCCGAGGCCAAAATAAACTACTACATTTCACTCAGTGATACATGAACTCTGCAGCGAGCTAATATTTACATCCATTAGCTATGTTCACAGGAACATGCTCCTTTCAGCTGTCTCAAAGAGCCACCAAGTCTCTGTTCCCATGAGCAAGGTGTCCAAGATTTCCATGCTCTTCCTGCTAGTAAGAAAATCCTTGCTTCTTGCTCTACCGAGCTATAAAATCAGAAGCCTTACACAGAGTGATGTACTTCTGCTTTGTTCCAGGCTTTCCAGAGATCTTATCAGTGGAGGCAGACAGACACAGAGCCTGTCAGATTACAGCAATTTCTCCATTACGGGAAAGGGATGCACTTGACCACAGCCCTGGTTGCTCTCACAGTGTACAAAATGCAAGGGGCCATGGAAGGCACACATACAGAGTCAAGGGCTGGTCAAGAGGAGCTGTCACAGCCTCCTGGATGCCCTGACTGGGCCAGCATTTGCCAGTTGAGATAAAGGAAGCGGATACTCTCTGTTTGGTAAAGAAATGGAGAGTTCACATACTAAGTGAAGAAGATAAAGGGGACAGTAGGGCAGGATGGCTTCTGCAGTCTAGCTCCATTCCTGTGGCACATGATTACTCAAAAAAAAAACCCCAAGACCCCAAAAAACAAAGCCACAGGATCTGATGGTTTGTACTAACACAGGTTCTGTGTACTAGTGCTGCTAGCACTGGGATGCTTTGCTTTAAATAGCCCCAAATCTGTGATCTACCCCAAACAGAAAGGTCTCCCCACAGCAGTCCTGTTGTCACACAGGAGGGCATTGCATCCAGTTGCAGAGAGAGGGGGTGGGTTTTGCAATGGCCTTAAGAATCTGACACCACAGGACTACAACCCACCCCGGTCTTGCCAGGAAGGGAAGAGTTTTCTCAACCTTCTTTGTTTCGTGACATCAGAAAGCATGTTGCCATTTTGCCTGTATATGATGCAATTCCAGTGGTGTCTGATGAACTTCTTATGCAATTCCATAGCACTGTGCTGAAACACCAGCATCTCTGGCTGCAAGAGAAGGAGCCAGAGGCCAGGGAGTGCAAACCCAGGTGGCAGCAGAGGGGTTCACCCAACTGCATTCACCCAAAGCAAATAAAAATAAAAGCAAACACTAAAGGGAGCCGGGAATAAAATCAGTGAGCAGAAGAGCTTACCAGCTCAGAAATCATATCACAGCTAGGAAGCAGGCAATCAGAGCAGCCAGAAGACAGCTGGAGAGCTCTGATACATCCTCAGCACTTCAGGAACTTCTCACGAGACCAGTATACTCTGAGGTGTTCTTAATATCTCCATAAATTAACATTTCAATAATAAAAATTCATAGAGTGGTTGGGGAAAATAATCCATCACAGCCACTGTTAGAATTTTTTTTAAGGAACTTACTTGATATGTTCACTTTGTTTCAAATCAGAAATTGTTCCCTGAGCACTTTCTTCTTCAAACTTTCACCTTCTGTCTACTGAGGAGCAAAGAAAAGTGGGGTGGGGAGAAACACAGCCACAGAAGTGTCTCTTTAAAAGCAAAGAGGGTGGAAAGGTTTGGTTTGGTTTTTTTTCATTTGGTACTGGTCACAAGTGGCATTTATGTCAGAGAAAAACATGAATATTTTCATATAAAACACCCTTTCCAAACAGACCTCAGCAAAGAATCATTCACTCCTGCCTTTAGCAGCACAGACCCTATAAAGCCTATGCACTTTCCAAACAATTATAAAACCCAAGATAGATGTCAAATAATTAACAATGAGAGCTGCACTTTAAGTAACTACTGCACACCTATTCTCAAAGACACTGTACCAATTCTACAGAACAATGCTGCATTTTCCAAGAAAAGTACCTTTGTCCCTCCTAACCACAGGCATCTAGGGAGGGCTGGTAGGTTTTTTGCTTTTCACTGAGAAGTCACACTATGGCCTGCAGAACAAAAGCACCCTTCAAAACCTTGCCACTAAGTGCTCTGGCTGAAAGGGCATTTATAATAAAGCACTTTCAGAAAGAGGAAAAAAATAACTTCAGCCAGAGCAGCTTTTACATACTATTTTCTTTCTATAATTCTGTCCAAAGTCAGAAGCATTTGAGAGCATAGGACTGGTCCCAAAAAATGGGATGTAGACAGAGGAAGGCTAGCAAAATCCAGAGTGGGATGGCTTAGGAAATGCTTTGCTTCTAAGCCACATGGACTTGAGGATGAAGGCTGAGTGATGGGCTGCAGAGCCAGGCTGGTGCTCAGGAGAGAGGCACAGTTCCTCTGCTCCCACATCACAGTGTGCTCACAAGCCCTGGGTCCCTGCATCCTCATGCAGCAGCATTGGAGAAGGCTGCTCGATGAGTTTGCTGTGTTTTCTTATGGGGAAAAATAAATGTACAGTTCAAGTAAATTCAAAGAATCCAAAAGGCAGACAAAGGGCAGCCTGCAAAAGCAACTGCAGAAAAGTAACAGCAAAAACACTAATGGAAAATGGGAAAAGGCCCTTCTGCCCTCCAGGAAACACTTTTGCTTTTCAGTACGTGCAGGAGTAAGTCAGACAAAAGGGGGAATTACTGTAGCATAAACCATCTCGGTGCCACTTACCCGGGATTTGCGCAGTGTCTCGCTGGCCCTGCCCCTCCTCCGGAGGCCATTTGGGCGCTACATGGCACCACCCTTTGCTTTGGTGTCAGCGGTTCCACTCTGCCCAAAGCAGACCCACTCCTGCAGGGAGTTGGCCAGTCCCATGGGCAGCCCCCCAGAGGAACGGAATGTTACACTGCAATCTCTGGGAATGTGGGTAGAAAGACAGGCGACGGGGTTCAGAAGTCCAGCCTTGACTCCTCAGGAGGAATAAACACGTTCATTACAATTTTCATTCCCAGACATCTTCCAGGAACAGAACGGGGAGGAATCAAGCAGCAGTTTGATGATGAAAGCCATAAGCAGCTCGGAGCACTTTCCCTGCTCTAGTGCATGCTACGCCACACTCATCACTTCAAACACAGGCACACTGACCAAAGGGCCTCCAACGCTGTCCTCAGAAAAACATTTGCATCTCCCCTAAGGGCAGGGAGTCCAGTTTATCTTGGCAGGAGCTCCCTAACAGCCAGCACATTTCAGCAGGAATCGGCCAGGGCTGAAGCCTGCCCAGCAATCAGGGATATCGCAGGAGCCATAAGTGTGACCCAATCAGCACATCTAATGGTGACACATCCAAGGCATGTACAGGGACCTGTAAGATCAATACTGAAGTCCCACTTCTGCCAGGGTAGCTGCACTCACCAGGCTATCACACGTCTGACAGCAGAGCGGGCTGAAAGGAATTTGTTCTGAAATGTTTCTATTATAAAAGTAATTTATGTCATCAGAACCAAAGGAAACGTTTCAATTTGAGCAGCCTGAAAGTTTTTCACCAGCTAGAATTACAGCAGATATTACACACCTACTTTTGTAGAGGGGAAAAAAAAATAAAATTACTGGGAGTCAGATGCAAAGTTGCCCTGGTGAGAGGTGTCCCCCATCACTAGCACAGAGCATCTTCTGTCTTCCTTGGCCAGAGCTGGCCACTTGAACACAGGACCTGGAAGCACTGGCTCCCAGCACTGGGGAGATACAGTGTCCACACCCACCTTTACACCAAGGTCTACCAAGTACCCTGAAGAGAAGGGGGGAAAAAACCCTAAAAATAAAACCAAACACACGACAAAAAAATCTGGAAACAGTCTTCTCAGCCAGTGGCTCAGCCAGCTCATTGCCAGCCAAGGACATGACATCAGGCATCTAAGGTGGTTCCATTTGCCTGTCACCCACCACAGCCCCTCCCTGGCCTCCTGCCTGCCCATCCAGGCCAAGGGCTGCAGTCTGATGTCTTTTTAATAATTAGTTTTCACTAAATCCCCAACATGGGGAGGAATGAACCCAGCAGTGTGCCACTCCAGAGTCACCATAGGAGGTGGTCCCAAGCTATTTCTCCCTCAACAGAGCAGCACAAACTGCATGAGCAATGCTCCAAAAGCACCAAGAGCTCCTGAGGACAGAGCAGGCAGCAGCCCCACCTCAAGCTCGGAGGCTCAGGGAAAATTGCAGAGATTTTCATTCACAGTGAGTCATTTCTGGGAGCTTCCTTGGTAGTGCAAGATTTGCCTCTGCCAGTGCCAATGTTTGGGACATGGAAGCGATTGCCAGGCAGGGAATTTGTGATTTGCTATTGACATTTAGATACCATCTCCTGGCATCCTTTTGGCTCAATGGATTTAATACTAATAATCAGAATTCAGACAAAGAAACTATTTTTCTCCCTCTCAAAAGGAAAAACGTGCAATCTAGGCATGTGGAAAGGCAGGGGTGGCTTGAAAATATGTCTAAAGAAACTCAGTACACCCTGCTTCTCTTTGCAGCTCTCCTGGGGTCCTCTCAGGACTTGGCAAAGCAGAAATGCTACAGATCTTACACACTGCTCTGCTGGAAACCAGGGTGCTGCTGATTATACTCTGGCAGCTATTTAGCAGGCAGAGCACACTGCATTTCATACATCAAAAATAAACTAGCAAAGTAATCTGTCATCTCTACAAAATATGCACACCTGCACAAGACAAATAAACAGCTGGGGTTACCACCTAGAGATCTGTGGAGTGGGCTGAAGAGGGGCAGGTAGAGCCACAGCTAAAAAATCAAACAGCTCAGACTACAAATGCATACATGCTGGCCACCAAGCAGTTCAAACACCGAGCTACAAGAGCACTTCTGTGCTCAAGCAAAAGGTATCCAGCCAAGATAGTCTATTTTTTAAGTCTGAATAGCCAGGGAATGAAAAGTTTCCAACAGAGCTTCAAAGAGAGCCGAGATCTTCCATGAAGCCAGACACAATGCTTCTATTTTGGATGGCGATGTTACAGTGAAAGGAGAGTTCTGAGAAATACCCACATATTGCACTACCACAAAATAAACTGATAAACTAATCTTTGCACAGAAAAAAAGAAAGCTGTAATCAACATTGCTCAAAGACTTGAGAAGACTTAAGGAATCCAGAGTGAGATTCCTCCCTTGCTGGAAAAATTCCAATTAGTTCTCACGGAGCACCTGGGGACATCTGACGAGCATTTAATTTACACATTCTGCCTCCTGACCTTTTTAATGGTTTTTCAATGTAAGCAGCTTCAATATCCTCCCTAAGAGGTTGTTCCACTGCCGTGGTGGACACAGCAGCACATCCACATTGTGCAACAGATTGCACAGCAGCAACCTCAAGTTAGCTCTGCCCAAGTCTCTAAATCTAGAGAATACAGTGCAGATTCGAGCAGGTTTATCAGCTGGGTTTACTGCCTTTCACACCACCAGCCTGCGACTCTTGAACCCCAGAACACCTTTCCCAGAAGAGCCTGGCACAGTCAGTGCTCTGCTCACTCCACATCCCCACCATCACACCAGGGGCTACACCCAGCCCTGCCCAGCACTAGCTGCAAGAGGGTCTCAGTCTCAAAAAACACTCCAAGAGTTTATTTTCCTAAGTTCAAGCCCTTGCTGCCAGATATACCTGCTCCTTCATTTCATCTCCTCCCCTTATAGCCCTCAGTGCTCGCAGACCAGATTCCCACGGTGGCTGCTCTATATTCAGCCAACATCTTCCCCTTCTTGTTCCTCCAGAGAGGGACACAGCAGGCAAAAATCCTCCAAGCACCACCATGCTCCAGAGCACATCATCACTGTCTTTCACTTCCCTTTCCAGAAGTGTCACAAATTCCTCAGGCAGCCTGCAATATCTCCAGCACCACAGCAGGTTTGCCCGTGCTGTTGCCAGTGGGGAAGACCCAGCTCTCCCCGCAGCATAAGAGAAGGATCTCCTCAAGTGACTCTTGGTATTCTGGGATAAGCAACATATTCAAGGGTAAAAGCAAGTCAGACGAATTTTTCAAGTTTGGGCCACACAGCATTTCCACACCGGTACTTATATTAATCACGTTAATTTAATCCCATTTAGCCTTATACGTAAAAGCAAACAAGAATAAGACATCAAGACGCTTCTATCCCTGTCCTGCAGCTCAGACAGGCTGTTCTAAGTGTACTTTACACATCAATCCATGGCAAAATTTAAAGCAATACTAAAACAGAAAGCCCAGGAGCTACTGGCCTCTCCTAGGACAGCACCCCACTTACAAACAGTTCTCCAGAGGTCCTTCCAGCCCTCCACATTCCCAACCCCCCCACTTGGTCCTCCTGGTGACTATTAGAGCAGCTTTCTTTTTCATACTGTCCCTTCCTGGTAAGCATAGTACAGCTGCACTCTGCAAAGGGGACTAGAAAAAGCTGGGTACACACAAAAAAAGAGGAGGTAAAGAGAGACAGAATGAGACAATCCTTCCCCTGTGATGTGTACTGGATTTGCTCCCCATGTCTCTAACATTTCCTTCTGCAAATATTCAGTTGCACCATCACAAGGAACTTGCTCAGGCTCTGCCTGCACTGACCCCAGCAGTGCAGCTCAAAATTCAACCTTCAAACAACAACACCCTGATTTTTAAGTCCTGGAGCCTCCTTTGAGAAAGTCTGCTCTCTGACCCACAGCATGTACACAGTGAGAAGGCTGAGATGGAGCTGCAGGCAGCAGTATGCTGTGATTGTCATCAATATTAATTATTTGGGGAGAATATGATTGATCTCATGAGGGCAATGAATTCATTTCCCCAGCTGAATGACAAACAAAAGGCAATACATTCGCTGCTGACATTTCCAAAGGCTACGAGGAGCAGCGACACAAGGAAATACTGCTGTGCACTAAAACCCTGCTGCAAAGGGCCAAAAATCTGAAAAGCCTCCACAATTTTCATTTCTGAGCACTTTCAATGCCAGGAAGTGGATGTCTTGATATCCTGAAATCTGTGCTGACCCCAGCCCTGGGCTGGCTCGCTTCTCTGCATTGAGAGGAAGTAATCACTGAGCGTCTTTAGAAAGCTTGGTTGAGTTTCCCTCTTGCTCTTTGACACTTTGTGTCAGCAACGACAGTCATTGCACCTGTCAGACAAGGGGGGAAAAAACGCTTATAAAGGGAAGAACATTACCTTCCTGGGTAGTCACAACCTAGGGCTATTCAGCAGTGCTGCAATGCAAAATGCAGCTCCCCTGTGCAATGGGAGAAAAGGAAAACACAGTAAGCCTGGAGAAAAACATTTCCATCTCTCCATGACCTTGAGTCAGGGTGTCTATGTGTGTGCAACCTCCCAAGAAGACAATTAAACAGCCTCCCTAAATTCCACACAGCAACATGAGAAAGAACAAGGAAGGTGGAGAAAGGTAAATTGCACTGAGACTGCAGTTATTTTTTCAGGAGAATGGATATGGGGAAACCCAGTCCGTGGAGATGTTACTCCAGTGGAGTCTTAGTTTTGTCATGTCCTTCAGTTACCCCAACACATCAACCCTGTCTGGCTCAAATGAAACCAGCACAATTTACTGCAGCTTCACATTTTGGGATCCAGCAGCACATCTCTGTTCATTCAGAGAGGTTGGGTGGCCTCAAGACCTCCACAGCCTGCCAGCTGGGCAGCAACACACACATTCTTGTCTCATTACCAAGACCCCTTCTTAGAAACAAGGACTGGAAAGTGTCTGTATCTTGAAGGAAGAGGGGGGAGGCAGCTAATTCTAAACAGAACAA